CCCCCATATAAAAAACGAACCAGACAGAAATTCAAAAAAATGATCATCAAATTTTTAGGTAATTTCCTTACAAATCGAATGGTGTATGTCTCATTATTGTAGCTTAAAAACTGTAGGAGGAGATAGGTTTACCGTGACAATAAGTTGAACTTTTCAGGACGGCGCGACAAAGTCCCATGCACCTCAAAATAGGCACTCAATGTAGAATGGATACCAAACTACAGGCTTCTGTAGCTTAATCCACTCAAGGATGCTAGCAGCAACTTGTAGCGCACCTCTACGTACAATGTTAGGAGGGTAACTGAGCACAGATGCCAGATACACCAAGATATGTAGTCTTGCCGCTCTAATTTTATTAGGTCTATTTAGTGAAGGAACTCCACACCCCCGCCCCCCATTAAAGCCCGGCCATCTGCGTCAATATTGCCGTACATAGATCGCAGTAGTATCGTTGGAAAGCTCAGAATGTCAGCTTTAAGATGAGACTAAGCATGTAACTGCAGCACAACTCAAGTATAAACTTTATTCAAAGATTTCAGCAGCTAATTAGTTTATATCTAATTACTTAAAGAACTCTCTCACCCACTTCCCTTTGAAGAGACGTCATGAACGTAAATATTGGCGTACAGCGATGGCAGTGGTACCATTCGAAAGAGCAGAATTCCAGCTTTCAGATGAGCACAAAAACCGAAAAACGCCAAAATTGAAAATTTTAGGGTAGCCGGTCCCCTTAAGTACATTAAGCTTAGAAGAGTCCCTCACTGTTCTAAAAGGCAAACTACAAGAGCACTGGACAAGAACATGGAAGGCTTCTGTTGCTCACTCGCAGAAGGGAACTTTTTTGAGCAACATCATGAACGAACCCAGACTGCGACCCTGGCTCAGCCTGAAGTCTCGCAGACTTGAGTGTGCTGCTGCTCGACTCAGGATTGGACATGCTGGCGTCAGAAGTCACTTGCACAGATTTAACATGAGCGACTCTGATCAGTGTGCTACGTGCAACACTGTGGATACTATTGAGCACTACCTGCTGCATTGCCAGCAACATGCGCAGCCCAGACAAGAGCTGAAAACTAATTTAAGATGTTTGAATGTACAATTCTCTTTGTGTGAACTTTTGGGGGGAGGTAATAACGATGACGATGTGCAAAGAAAAATCTTTCAACTTTTGACTGTATACATTTTGAAGTCAGGTAGGCTGAATGAACTTTAGATAAGCTAGCTAAATAAGAGATGCAGCTTATATGTATGTATGTGTATGCAGATTTTTTTTTTTTTTTTACATGTTTATGACCTAAGTTATCATACTTTCACTAGTCCACCCAATTATGTGGTCAAAAACTGTGCTGATTTCTAACGAGTTATAACCCTTGTTTTCTGATATTTTCTTATGTCATGTGTACTTTTTCAATTTGTGACTATAAATTTTTTTTTCTCTAATGTCAGGTAGGCTAAATGAACTAACTGTAGGTGTATGACCTAAAAACTTAAGAAGTGTGAGGGATGTATGATCTAAGTTATTGTACCTATACTAGTCCACCTAATTTTGCGGCCAAATGCTGGGTTGAATTCTGATGAGGAAGGGCCTTTGCTTTTTGATATTTTTAATGCCCTGTGTTGCTTTTCTTTTGCTTGCTGTCACGCTCAGCCATTGTGTCCACTGACTTTTCAAAAGCAAAAATAAGTGGTCTGAACTCCATGCCAAGAGGTCCAAAACTACACAAGCTCTCAGGCCCAACGGTCATCCTTGCGGTTGTCCTGTGGCTTTAAGTCTACCCTGCGTGGACATCCCGAAAAGAAGAAGAAGAAGTAGTCTTGTACTACGCCTAACGCCTGAAGTGACTCCTTAGTAGGAGCAACTGATACTTGTCTCACAAAAACTGGTTGTCCAGCTAACTTGTAGCTGATGAAGAGGACTTTTAGTGAAAATTTTAAAAAGTGGTCTGTTTTGATCTGTTATTTTTTAAAATCATCATGAAGCTTTTTTTTTGAGTAACAATATGGTGGAACCGCGACTTCGCCCTTGGCTTTGCCTGAAGTCCCGCAAGCTAGAATGTGCATCTGCAAGAATTAGAATTGGGCATGCAGGTGTCAGGAGCTATCTGCACAGCCAGCACAGGTTTAAAATGAGTGATTCCGATCAGTGCACCACCTGCAACACAACAGACACAATTGTTCACTTTCTTCTGGACTGTCAATGTCATGTGACATGTGCAACCAAGACAGGAGCTACTAAGTAACTTGAGAAGCATCAATGTAGAACTTAACCTTTGTAATCTCCTGGGGGGAGGTAACTTTAGTGATAAGGTGTCACAGAAAATCTCTCAATTTTTTAATGCATTTATTTTAAAGTCAGGTAGGCTAAGTGATCTTTAGATGAGCGCCTTGCAAAGCTGTATATATATATATATGGAAGCACGATAGAATTGTTAATGCATGGCTACTGCTGATATATGTTTTGATTTAGCAAGTAGATCATCTAGGTTTTTTTTTCAATATTATTATAATTATGTATATATTTCTATTATTATTGTTATTATTATTATTATCATTATTATTTTTGTTTAATGAAGGCTGTTATATTAGCAGCCCTTACTTATCTAAATTACATTAGCAGTAACTCATTTCATTTACTAATATATGCTCCCTGTAAACTTCTACCCAATCCTGCACTGAGCTTACATCAGCCAACCTCACTAAATGGCAGCAATTAACTTCATATACAAAGAAACTGAAAACCCCAAGCTATAAGCTCTCAGGCCCAACGGTCATCCATCTGGCAGACCTGCGGCTTTAAGTCTACTCCAAGTGGACACCCTGCAAAGAAAGAAGAAGATCATGAAGCTTTGAACTTTTGAAGTGATCATGTTTGCTTTCAATTTTTGGAAACTTGTGTCTTGTGATGCTGTGCCTGCCTGATAATCTACCTACATTGTACAACTTGACTACTTCCTGAGCCAGGGCCAGAGCTTTTAGCCTAACCATTATTGAAGTTGCAAGACATGGTGAATAAGGGCAAAAAAATATGAGCAATTTTAAATAATTCATGACATTTTTAAAAACCTAATGTTTTTACAGCAATCCCTTGATTAGCACGGTTTTGAATACTGCGGTTTTGATTAACGCGGAAAAAAAACTTGCGACCTACCCTTAATCTACGCGGTGCCAGTTTTGATTAGCGCGACTTTTTTTTCACAACTTATCATTTTCCCGCCTCTAGCCAGAGGTGTTACGTTCGTAACAAAAGTGTTACTTTTTGCTTATTAGATCCTATGTTATTACTTTTGTTAGGACTTTTGGAAAAATTCGCCAAATGTTGTTACTTTATGAGTGAATTTCAGCCAATAATTCTTTAAATAAGGTCCTGTTCCGTAGGCATAGTGGCAAACAGGGTGGAATTCTAGAAATGGAAGTTCACTTATAAAAAAGCTTTCCACCCAAGGTGGAATGCTCTGCCAAGTGCCAGGTGACTGACTATAAATGAAAAGGAGAATCAAAAGTGGACAAACTGTTTCAATTGTACAGTAACCTCAGATTTGTTTTAAAATTGTTTGATAGATATTTTCTATTTTTCTTTTATTTAATGGATTTTTCAAAAATTATCCAGGCTTTTTATTTGTAATGATCAAGTTTAAGTTGAGTATTTAGTTAACCAGTACTGTAGACATATACAATATTTGGGGGCGGGGCTTATGGGCACAACCAATCACAGCTTGAAAGCATCTCCATCAACCAATCACAGCTTGAAAGCATCCCCATCAACCAATCACAGCTTGAAAGCATCCCCATCAACCAATCACAGCTAGAAAGCAGATAACATTACAATTCCATTAACAAATCACAGCTAGAAAGCTGGAAGGGGCTAAAATCGCAATCCCATCAACCAATCACAGCAGGAAAGTGATAGGTTATGTATATGATATGAAATATGATGGACTGAAAGTAGAAAGTTCCTGGTCTTTCCAAGCTTTCAGGTCCTGCTTTCCAATATGCTATGTGTACTGGTTAATTTAATATCCCTCTAGAATTCCACACTGGTGGCAAACCAGACCTTTTTTAGAATCAGTTCATTTTTAATTTCCTCATTTACTCAAGATTTAAATCAATTTCTTAAGTAAGATAAAGCTGGTATCCATGATACTTTGCTGGTCTACTTATAGGACTCAAAAATGAACTTGAAGGCGAGTCTAAAAAACTCGCTGCTTTGCCACGAGTGCCTACGGACCGTAGGCACTCGTGCTGACTACAGAGTCAGTTTAACCGCGCCTTGTCTTGTTCATAACTTGAATGATCGAGTTTGGCAATGTTCGCCGGTATGTGCACCATGCTGGTGCTCTAGCCCTTTAAGCCCTGGTGTGACGAATTCGTCACACAGAAAATAAAAGCTTCTACCGTCGACCAAGAGTAATTACATGTTTGGAGTCCAGCCGCAAGTGTGACGGTAGCGTCACATGTTGTGAACTCGTTCGAACGACGTTCGATGGAGTAGGTGCGCCGCTACTGCCAGTACAACACAAAGACTGCGCATGATCTGAAATGTAATTCAGATATTTTTTCACTTTCGAAACATAATTCAGTGCGTAAATGGCTAGTTACTCGTTAGCCTTCAACTGGTCAAGATCGCTGCCATATCTACTGCTCACTTTTATCAAACTACATAATTTTCCTTTCCTTTGCTATTTTTGAGGATTCATTATAATTATTCCCATATATTCTTAAGTTTGATTAGCGCGGTTTTGCTTAAGACGGTAAAACTCTGGGATTTATTAACCGCGTTAATCAAGGGATTGCTGTATTTAACCCTGTTAAATAAAAACCTAACGCCTGTTTTAAAAATCTATTCAATATCTAAATGCTAGTGTAAAACATTGCTCTCCAAGCTAGGATTTATTTGAGCCATTATGCCCATTAATAAATAGATTTTTGAGCTATGAATCTCTTTTCTAAGCCATGAATCCATTTTCCTTTTTCCAGGATTTAGAAAGCCATTTTTAAGCCAGAAACTCATTTGCCACAGCACAAACCCATTGCCAGCTGCCAAGCCATAGGAATAAGATAATTGCCAAATATCTAATTCTACCCTAGAAATAGTAACAAGAATAGTTTGGTGTGTGATGACAGATTTTTTACATTTTCTCAGAGAAGGTCATAGTTGTTTTGATGCATTCTGACTTGACCACAACTGCAAGATCATCAACCAAGCATTTTGGGGCAGACCATGCTGCCATGCAATTACTGTAAAATTGTTGGCAGAAGTACGGCACTAGGCAGAAATCCAAAAATGACATGATTGCAAAGCACCATGCCTTGGGAGGTGTGGTTTGTATGCAAGAAGTTCATTTTAGGATCTATGCCAGTACACCATGGAAAAAATTGCCATAATTATACATGACTCACTCTCATTGTGCATGCTATTAAAACAAATTTACAACTCAGAGTATCTTTGGCACATGTTATTTGACCATGGACACTGTAGTTTGTATCGAAAATATACAGCAGAAGATAACTCAGTAATTTCACTTCCTAGCACTTGATACTAGGGGGGCTGGGCTTAATAGCCCAGCCTCTCAGGGCATTTTATGGCAAGAAGCATCCAAAGAATCACTTGTCCATATGATATTTACTAATTTCAAGTTTCAATTAGTTATACAAAAGAACAGCTCACCACTTGCTGGGCAAAAACTTCTTGACTTTATAAATGGTGTCCCTCAGATCCATATGTTTACAAGAGTAAATATATGAGATGGCAAAGTTTGCAAAAAATTCTCACAAAACATTACAAAAATTACCATAACACAATACAACATGACACATTTTTACACAGCATAAGATAACACAACACATTATAACATAACATAATGTTGTGCTATGTTGATAGATTTAATTCTGAATATTGATAATGGTTATGCCATTGTGATACCTATATATGTATTATTCATAAATTTTATCTCTTCTTGATTTACAGATTATTAATTTGGAGAAGAACCTTTCCTATTATATTTAGTCAAAATGAAATTTTCTTCATTATCAATAGCAATTTTTGTAGCCCTATTATGCTCAGTCATTCATTCGCTACCAGTTAAAGAAAAGCAACCAGAATTAACAGAGGAACAACAAAAAGAAGCCTTAAAAGATGAACCACCTGTACTTCAAGACTGGGTAAGACACAACACACTTCTCAACATCTATGCTTACAAAAGTTTAGTTTTGGCATCTTGTATTTGCATCATTACCTTACTGAAATTGTAAGTTTACAATTATAGTATTTTTAGATATTTTTGTAGTGTGAGTAATCCTAATATTTTGAATCCATAGTTTTATGATACTAAATTTTTTATACTGAGTTTAATCCTCATAATTAATCAATTTGATAAAAATCAATGATTTTTATGTTTTGGAAATGATCATCATGATTTAATTGCACTTTGAGACTTTGTTTTTTTTTATTTAACTTCATTTGTTTCATTGTGCAGGAGCTAAGCTTGGAGTATGGAAGGTACTTGAAGGAGGTTATTCAAGCTCTAGAAAGTGATCCTTCTTTTAGAAAAAAACTGGAGGATGCTGAAGCTGATGACATTAAGGTAATTAATTTGTCCTTGAGTTTAGTTGCAGAAGATCAGGTGTAAACCTGAGTTATCTGTCCCACAGAATCAGTTAACTCATCTATTTTAGTATCAAATTTTCCCACAGATTTTTTAGGAGAATGATTTTAAAATTACAACTATTTTTCACTCATTAGGAGATTAGGAGGCATTAATATTGAATCCTAAAAGAATTCTTCCAATTGAAATTTCTCTCCAAAAATATTTGATTTATTCCTTATTGTTAGTATAAAATTTATACCTATATTGGATGATAAAATAGTAATGAAAATTACAAATGCTTGAATTGTTTCTTGTCAATTTCAGTCTGGAAAAATTGCTCGGGAACTCCATTTTGTGGACCATAATGTGCGCACCAAGTTGGACGAGCTCAAGCGGCGGGAGCTTGAGAGGATACGACATCTTGCTGTCCAGGTGCTGTTTGCTTGATAAGTGATTGTTCAATGACACCTCTATTACAAAGTTTCTGCGGAATAGATTTGTGTGACAGATAATGTTTTATTGAAACTCATTTAATTCTGATATTCATTGGTAGGTATTTAATGATGTATTTGTTTGACAATGATAATTATTCTCAAATAATTGCAATGTAAATCTAAATTTGCTTCTTTGATACAAAGTATTCTTTCTTGTAATTTTGTTTGAAGTTTTTAAATCATTGATTAAGATTGCACTAATTTCACATTTGGTGTTCTCCTTTAGGCCAATGAGCTAAGCAATGGACTGGACCACAATGCCCTTAAGGTCCCCGTGCACCTTGACCATAAGAACCCGACTCGCTTTGAAGTCGAAGACCTGAGAAAGCTCATCAAGCAGGTCTGTCTGCATGATATATGTTATTACGTCTTGAGCATAAATACAATGAATTTGTGTCTTTTGTCTGATACTCTGCCATTATTAGTCTCATTGCATGATTTTCATCGATGAAAATAATAACTTTATTGAATTTAGTGAATTAGAAAAATTGCATAGGTACTGTTTAACCCTACAGTGGTTGTGTGCATAAACTGACCAGATTAGTAGCCTTTTTATTTGGTTTTGTTAGTGTTGAATTTTGGCCCTGTAACCACTGCAGGGTTAATTGATACCTAAGATTAATTTACTCTGGATAAACCCTAATAAAAACATTGGTGAAATTAAATATCACAAACAAATTTCAGACCTCCGATGACCTGGAGAAGATGGATGCACAGCGGAGGAAGGACTTCTCTCAGTACGAGATGCAGAAAGAGTTTGAGTACAAGCAGCAGCTGGAGCACATGACGGCTGAGGAGCGTAAGAAGGCTGAGGAAGAACACGAGATGCGAATCAAGAAGCACAAGGACCATCCAAAACTTCATCATCCTGGCAGCAAACAGCAACTTGAACAGGTCCCTTACTTTTGAACTTTAGATTAGATTCTATTGAAGTTTATCCCATAAGCCTATAGGAGAATGCAAATCTATTGCATTTAGCTTGTTGAGAATAATCGATGATAAAACCACCAAGTGTTTATCCTTGCTGGACCAATGCTTTATCCTACCATCCTTAGCACCAGCAGGCAGGTGTGCCTTGCTTCCAGTTCTGGGAGTCAGTCCATTACTACAAAGAATTGTTCTATTTGTTCTATCACATATATATAACTTGTCCTGCTACCCTTCCACCTGGAATACTAGTAACAAATTTTCAATTGACCTAATTTTTGAAGTGCAGTTTTCAAAAAAAATCATTCTAGAAATACGACCTAAGCAATGCCGAAAATAAAATCTGTATTGTTTCAACTGTCTGTGAAAACAAGACATTGACATGTAATAATATAGGATGTTTTTGTAATGGAACGAAGATTGGAATAAAAGGGTATTTAAATTGTCTAATTATTTTAATTTTGCAACTGGTTCACATGCTGCAGGTTTGGGAAGAAGAGGACCACATGAACAAACAGGAGTTCAACCCTAAGACTTTCTTCCATCTGCATGGTAAGCTCGTGATGATAAGGACTAATCTTTTCTTTAGTGTTCATCCAGGGTTAGTCAATGTATAATGTTTAGTCATTGAATCAAAATATCAAATTTTGAAGTCTACAATGATTAGGTGTGTGGTGTCTAAATATATGTAAACCAAAAATTATTAGCCCTATTTGGTTATTTGTTAGCGCTGATATGAAATAATCTATAATTATGTTTGAAGATCCAAAAATATTTCAAGTTCCTATCATTCTCAGATGTTGATCAGGTGTATTTTTCATTTACTTCAATCGAGTTGAAAAAATTCATGCAACGTGCAGATCTTGATGGCAACGGTCACTGGGATGAGAACGAAGTGCGTGCGCTGTTCCTGAAGGAGCTGGAGAAGGCCTACGATCCCAACGCCTCCGAGGACGATCTGCACGAGCGCGACGAAGAAATGGAGAGAATGCGCGAGCACATCTTCGCTGAGGCGGACGCCAATGACGACGACCTCATCAGGTGAGGGAACACCGCCTTGCTGAGGCGGACGACAACGATGACGACCTCATCAGGTGAGGGAGCACCGCCTTGCTGAGGCAGACGACCACGACGACGACCTCATCAGGTGAGGGAACACTGCCTTGCTGAGGCGGACGACAACGACGACGACCTCATCAGGTGAGGGAGCGCCGCCTTGCTGAGGCGGACGAGCAGCTCATGACGTGTTTGTGCCGCAGCTCATGACGTGTTTGTGCCGCAGCTCATGACGTGTTTGTGCCGCAGCTACGACGAGTTCCTGGAGCAGACTCGTCGCAACGAGTTCGAGCGTGACGAGGGCTGGCAGACGCTGGACGAGCAGGAGCTTTACTCGCAGTCCCAGTACGAGCAATACGAGCAGCAGCGACTCAGGGAGCTGCAGGCCGCCGGCGTGAGTGTAAACTATTTCAGTGTTTACTTTCCTCCATGTTTTGTCACTCCGCTTGTTATCTAGTTTCAGCATTAAGTTCTCATAATTGGTATTTTGTACATATTAATATTTTTCTTTATTTTTTGATACGGGAGTTGTGTGATGTTGCTGTTCAATGCAATCAAATTACAAGTGTTGAAATCATGCATGCAATGTCCTATGTCCAAATCTAATGAACCATTGAATTGTTATCTTCCGAATATTCATAATTTGCATGCAGTTTAAAACGCTCTAATTTACTGAAAATCCTCAATCAATATGAATGGAGTATTTTCACCTAATTTTATTTTAAAGTAATCAGCCATAAAGCTCAGCGGGAGAGTTTAAAAATAACTTAGGCTCGTTTGACTTGCGGCTTTTGTTGTGTTTGAATGTCTATTGTGTTGTGTTGTGTTCTGGGCGACTACAACGTCCAGGACTCTGCTTTATGTTCGCTGCATTTGCGGTTATTAGTTGTTTTTGCATCTTGGTTTTGCATTCATGCTTCTCTGGCTGTTTTTTTATTTTAATTTATCTATATTACAGTTTTTTTATTGCTTTTCTGATTTGCTGTTTGGTTATTTATTTATTTTTGTCCGGGCTTGAAATTTTTGCTTGGTTGTAGGTATACGTCCCTCCCAATGCCATCCCCCTCCCTCACCCCGACCAACAGTACCAAGTGTATCAAGGCTACCATCCCAACCAAGTGCCCATGGCACATCCTGGTCAAGTCCCCATGGCACATCCAGGGCAAGTAATGGGTCAAGTCCCCATGGCCCATCCTGGTCAAGTCCCCATGGCACATCCTGGTCAAGTCCCCATGGCACATCCTGGTCAAGTGATGGGCCAAGTCCCCATGGCACATCCCAATCAAATGGTGGGCCACCAACCAGTTGGTCAAGTACCAATCCACGCTGGTCAAGTACCCCCCTTACAGCGTGTGGCTCAGGTACGTCATTTACGAGGAAATAATCAACGGGCGTCATAAGAGGCTCGTAATCACGAGGCAGGCTTCATAACCAATGTTCCTAATCAACTTCAAATATTCCGAGCTGCGAAGCCACGTTTTCTCCAGGGTTTTATTCATCAGTTCAACTTTTTCGACTGCCTCAAATTTATATTTTCGACTTTATTAGTTATTTATTATTTAATATAAAATTATTAGTTTTGCTATTGCTATTTAATAATAGCAAAATTTATTAGTTAATTAGTTATTCTCGTTCATTCTTTTTTATTTTATTTTAATGGTTCATGTCTTGATGACTGCCAGCACGACCTGCTATGCACGCTCCAATGCACATTTTGTTTTGATGTGTGTTACTGATTAAATGTTTTACGATCTCGCTTGAATATTTAAAACTAGTCATTATTTCTGTTCTGATTATTTATGCATGTTGTTTCAGTCCGCAAATAATTTATGTTATCTTTTTTGTTTCGATTGTCTACTTGTGTATGCGCTTATTTGTGACATCTTTTAATTGCATTTGATCAATTATCTCGCTGTTGTTTGCAAGGTTGTCCATAGTTAACCGTTTTGTTAGTAATCAATAAAAAGCCAATTTGTGTTTTTTTTTCTAATTGTTGGAGAGTGTGGAGCTTTTCGAGATAGAAAATAAAGCGAATGTTACTTCAATTATTAATACAAACGTGATGATACGTTGCTCACCAAACGTTTCGGTGTTGCAGGTGCAGCCTGGCTACAATGCCCAACCGATATCTGGGCACGAGGCCATGCAGCAGCAGCAGCAAGCTTACCAACAACAACAACAACAGCAGGTTTACCAACAACAACTGCAGCAGCAACAAGCCTATCAACAACAGCAGCAACAACAAGCATATCAACAACAGCAGCAACAACAAGCCTACCAACAGCAACCGAATTTCCAACAACCACAGGCCCCTCAACAGCAACAGATTCCTCAGCAGCAGCAAGTTCCTCAGCAGCAGCAGGTACCTCAGCAACAGCAGCAGGTTCCTCAGCAGCAGCAGCAGGTCCCTCAGCAGCAGCAGCAGGTCCCTCAGCAGCAGCAGCAACAGCAGCAGGTTCCTCAGCAGCAGCAACAGCAGCAGGTTCCTCAGCAGCAGCAGCAGCAGCAGCAGGTTCCTCAGCAGCAGCAGCAGGTTCCTCAGCAGCAGCAGCAAGTACCTCAGTAGCTGCAGCAGCTGGTTTTTGTCGATCAAGCCGGCCATTAAAAAGTACTGCAAGTACCCTGGCTTACATCAGAAGTTTTTCCTCATCGTAAACTCATCGTGTCTCAATCTCTTGTGCCTCTTCAAGAGGCAAATGAAACTCCGTCATCAACTTGTCACATATTTTTTTCAATTTCTTCTTGAAAGTTTTATCTTTTTCCAGCGAAATTGGGAAGAGGACAAATTCGCCCGATCAAATTCATACGAACAACGCGCTAGCGAATATTTGTTGCACCACAATTTTCATGCTACTGTAACAGCATTTATCTTACCATGAAAAATTTAACCATTTATGGAAACTTCTTGCTCGAAAATTATTTTTCCGTGAATTATTCATCAAATTTGGTGTGGAACTGTAGGGTTCACAACTCCGACTACTGGTGCCAAACCATGTGTAGATGATCCGATCTGAAACTTCTATATTTATACACGTACGTCAGGTGCTAGCTAGTGTGCGGATTAATTTGAATTATGCTTCTGAATAATTTGTTGAAATATTGTGTCTCTTCACTCGCGCCTTTTCGATGTTACCGTCAAATTGCCCTACTCAAATAAGATGAATAGGTTTTCCTAGTACACTTCTTGAAGCTTTACCCGAAATAAAGTGCGACGAAACATGGACGAGTGCAAAAATCTATCCTAATTTTAATAGAATTTATGGGAATGTTGACGGCACGCCCTTAAAGCTAGCATCGTGATAGATAATATAGTTTCTTTACAAGTCTGTCTTATTGAGAAAATTTGTTGATTCAAAATTTTTAAGAATTGATCAAACTATACAGCAGCTCTAAGGGACTATTTACTCTTTGTTTGAACGTTTGTAAAAGTCATAATTATATACGTGTTAGTATTCGAATTTTGTTTGTTAGTTCGACGTACTATTTTCTTACGATTAGCTTGTCAGAAATGCATTTATATTGTCAGCGGTAAAACGTGCTTCCCGAAATAATTTGCTGCAATCGTTCGATCTCTTAGATATTGAATTAAATAATTTGTTGTTTGAATAGACGTAGAAAATATATTTGTAGCTCCTTACTTTACCGCCGCTTGAAATTGCTTTTTTGTTCCAGTGGTGCATTCAACATGCAGTTAGGTTTAAATTTTGATCCTCTGTCCATAACTTCCATAACATTCTGTTTCTTGTTCTTCCCATTTTTTATATTTTATTTATATGTAAATAGGTTCTTTATTGGTATAATATCCGATGTATTATCTATTTCTAAAAATAGCTTACATTATATTATTCAAATTATAACGCATACTTTTTAATTATTTTTGGTTTTCGCACAAAAACCCCGTTAGCTTTGTAAGCAAATTCTTGTCAGTCAATTCATACTATATGATTTTCTGGCAATCCTTTTTCTGATTTTCTGGCAATCCTTTTTCTGATTTTCTGACTCTTGACATATTTTTTGTTCATTAAAATGAAGTGTTGTCATGTGTTCACCGATTATAATCAATATTTAATTTCAGTGGTTGTTCAAATTAAATTTTTCATTGGCGCGGTTGTCAAGGGTGCACCGCTTCTGCTATATTGCAACTCATTACTAGCCTATTTTGTGGTCAAATTAATACTTAGGTCCCCACTCTTTTTTCTTTTTATTTTCAGAAATCTGGTTGCTCTTTCATAGTTGGAGATTGTGCTCCGCTCGGAGGTATATTTCCGACTCTTTAATAAATCTTTTAGAAGTCCTTGATCATGGTTAAACTTAACTTATGAATGCTTTCTGTCTTCCTATCTTAGACCCTCGACTTTAATAGAAAAACCCTCGTAATAGGAATACTTCTGTAGGAATTTAATACCCTCGGCTCACGCCAAACTTGGGTTACACGGCAAGCCACTCCAGAGGCCATACTTTCAAAACTCGCTAAGTGAACGTAAGTACTTACGCTCTATTTTCTTGTCTATGACTAAGTGAACGTAAGTACTTACGCTCTATTTTCTTGTCTATGATTGGTGGATTTGGCTTGAAAGGCCGTCAATGATTGGCTGATGAACTTACGATCTCTTAACTTTTTTTTGAAAGTATAGGCCCAGGTATCCATTCTCTCCTAATTTTAATTCGTTCAACTTTGAGATGCATTGCACTGTATCCAAGATTGTGCTTTGATGCGATAGAATTGGGAGCAACTTATACTTGTGGCTTGTCCAAGAATACTTTCATCAAATTATATTGGTGATTTTTAGTGCAAAATACTAAAGCCTGTCTGAGTACGCAAAAGCATGCATAGTCTTCCAGTGTTCTTATTACATGATAAATACTTCATCCTCGAGCTCAAATGTGCTGGTGCAGTGCAATAGTTGCTTCCTTTCAAGTTTTCAATACTACGTTCAATACGTTGTCGGGCGGCAGGAATACAATGTTTTACAATCTTGTCAGATTTTCTCTTCTGGATTAATTCTTGCTTCGTCAAGCAATATGACTGGCAGAGCTACAGAATCATGTCATGTGTGAGTGAAGCTCGACGCTTGCTGAATTGAATAATTAATGGCTAACTTAGTTATTTCACTTCAGCTGTTCACAATTTTTGTTCCAAGAAGTCGCACAAAAGGCCACAAAGCCTCCGTACGTGAAAACGCGGTCTTTCGCACATTGATAGTATTTGTATAAAACGAAGTTATTTTTGCTAATTTTGAAAGAAATTTCTTCAATCTCCAAAACGTATCAAACTGCTATCCCAAATTAGGATTTTGTGCTGATAAATGTGGAGGTTGTACAATTAACCAATTTGTTATGGGTAACGGCGACCACAGCACGCGTTGAGCCTGGCTACATTGGCGACTCTAAGAATACTAAAATTTCAAGAGTGTAACTCTTGAATCGTTCGAACATTTGTTTATGTTATTGAAGACATTACATTAATTAGATTGCAATTTTCAATCTATTATGTCGATTATGTTCACGCTTGGTGTAAAATTAAATTTGTTATTGGTGTAAAATTTAATTTGTTATTCGTAGACACGTAAGATGGTCGGCCATCGCCTGCACTTCATTTCACGGTGTACGCAAGATAAATCTTTACTTGATTCAATATATCAGGCACAAGAAATTGTAACATTTATCTTTAATGTTTACCTCTATTAGGTATTCGGTTGTGATGCTCATTATGGCCAAGGAATGACAGGATTGTCGTTGCAACCGTCGTAGATAACACTCGTCTATTTAGCATTGGTATGATTCGCAATCTATCCTACTACGATCAATGAACGAGATCTGTATTTTAGTTAACTTGCTCCATGTTCTTTATGTGATTCATTTGTACAATGTACATGACAATGATAGTATTATTGACACGAAACATCACCTGCACCATCTATTAAATTTTCGGGAAATTATCTGTACGTACGAAAAATATTTGTAGGTTTCTTCAATAGGCAGAATGAATTCGTTTTGAACATTTGGTTTCCTGGTATTTACCTTCCTTGTTTCTTTCGCTGGCATACTTACATTTTTAGTCGTGGTTATCAGTAAACATTTCTTGCATCAGTGTCCATGTTTTCTCACCTTCTTATATAATATATACTCGCATCGACTGATGTACATAATTATAATTTCATATTATTGGGTATAAACAAAAATAGTATGTTGATTGCACAAGAATAAGAATCGAAATATTAATCCATCTTCTCATGTGATTTTCACTCTACTTGAAATTAACTTCCAGATCCCGCCTATAATACGTTAGAAAACACACGCTATTTCAGTAAATTATTTCGCCGAGTGTACGCGCCACGAAAGATTTAATCCCGAGAAATAAATTCCCCCTATTTGCATCGGCCATAAGGAACTAATCAGACAATATCGGTGAAATTTAATATTTGTGCATGTCATGCGCATCGCAGAACTTCTACTAGTTGGTTCCCTTACAAAGTCACCAAACATCGTTATTCGAGGGAAAGTACGACGTCAAGTGCACGAATAGAGCAATCCAGGCCTTGTTCAACATAAAATAATGTCCCTGAGGATAACCATCCTCGCATTGCAGGATGATAAGTAAGATGTGTTGAGGGACAAAAATGATCACCAGAAAACTATTCGCGATTCGACTACTACCGCCATTTCACTTAGTCTTACGCTGAAAGATTCATTCGCATGATTTGAAACATTCCTTGTGTATCAACAGTTTGTGTCTATCAACTCCGAATATGCCAATATTCAAACTTCAAAGTTTGTGCCAATCAGCAAATACCGGTTTCAGCGTTCATTAGACCGTTCGCCACACAACTCACTGCTCCAATTCTGCTGTGCGTGACCGCTCGTCTTCGCCTACTTTGACCAGAGACTGACGCAGGAAGCTTAGATAGACCTGCGGCCGCACCTGTCTGCACCAATCCTGGTACTCTGAACTGAAACCACTGAGCCACCGAATTGAAAGATAGCTTCGATTTTTCTATGCCGAGTGCTGAGTGCCAACTCTGAGTATGTGATGCAGACCGCAGACATTCCGTGGCCGAGAGAAAGGTCATTTTTAATACGGAATCCGTTATACGGACTGAAAATTTTATAGTTTCGAACCGTGATCTGAATTTGCCGATGGCGATTGAAAAGTAAAAATTTCACACCTGACACCTATTAAAAAATTATAAGGAACTGCAATATCCTTGGCGTTCGCCTCAT